GTGTTAGCTAGCGTTTTCAAAGGCAAAGTTTTTTCAACTAGGTGAAAAATCTCACCTAAATAAGATTTTTCCAAAATATTTGTATCACTAGGCGGCAAAATTAAAAAAGGGTTGTTATATATCACTGGATAGATTTTACTGTTTTTCTCATATTTTATAGATTCACACAACAAAAATGTTGCGTGCATGTGCGTGCGCGCGCACGCACATACACACACATATATAAGACCTATTATATTTAGAAAAAAATGGAATGGTAGATTTACATGTACGGTGTCTGTTCAGCAGATCTACATAGAGATGAAAAGAAAAAAATACAAAATTTTCTAGTAACAAATATTTAAAAAAAAAAAATTAATATAGTTTTTTGATGCAAAAATCAGTTTTAAGGAAACTTAATTTGAAAGGCCTTGCACAAAACAGAGGAAATGCTATTCACCCTAAAAAATATCTCGAAAATAAAGTGCATGGTGTAAATTTAAAATTAGTGATGTAAATTATATTCAAAATATGTTCCACAAATATATATTGATAATTTTTCTAAATGTAAGTATTGTTGCAAAGGAAAACGTAAACAGATCCTTTGAGTGCATTCGGATCTTGTGGTGATTGCTTGACCAACATGCAAACTTGCAAATTGCTCTTTCTCTCTGGTTTGCCCTACATATTTTTGCCAGGTTATTACATGGAGATCCTCTAAATTATTGAGAAGTATCCTTTTAATTCCTTAAACTACAAAAGTGTACAAATAGATTCCCTAAACTATTGAGAAATATCAATTTGTCCTTCTAAAATTGACTTATTTCACTTTGATCTCTTTTGTTAATAGTCCAATTTGTATATTTTTATAATTTAGAGATATTTGTATGTTTTTATAGTTTAGAGGACAAATTGATATTTTTCAATAGTTTAAAAGATCTATTTATATATTTTTATAATTTAAAGAGTCAAAATAATACTTTTCAATAATTTAAGAAGTTTTTGTGTAAATAACCCTGCGTTTGCCACTAGAATGCCATGTGCAAGATCTCCAACACTTGCTCATAATGAGCAGAATTGAAGTATTCATCCAGCTCATAGGCCACTTGTGACCTTACAATTTGTTTCTGTTCAATTTAATCATAGTTTTAATTTTATCAATTTTATCTTTAAAATTTTTATATTATATTAATTTAATTCAATTGATAACATTTTAAAAAATTAGATTGAAATCAAAAGATAAATAGTGTATTCACTCCCCTTGGATTGATGAAAAGGTTGATGTCTAATTTGAAACAACTAATTCATTTTCAAAGTGATCACTTTGCCATTGATTTCAGTCCAATTGTTAAGGGACATTATTAAATAGAATAAATTGACACAAAATGAAAAATTAAAGAACAAAATTAATATAATAAAAATTAATGAACTAATTTACGAGACCACGGTATGATTTTCCCCTTAAAAATTTAACAATTTAATCGATTTCTTTTTTATTCTTTTCAATAACCTAGGGAGACGAAATGAACATCAATTACATCATGGTAGATTTTACTATCACACATTTTTAAAAAGTACATCATAGCTACATTGCATTGTAATTTACATCATTTTGGACATAATCATAGACCCAATAAGATGAAAGACCAGAACCAAAATCATCAAAATGATGGACCCAACTACATTGTATATACAAACGCTTATGTTCTCAGTATTTATTTACCCAATACTTCGGGGATGAACAAGCTAGAATAATATCATTGGGGATTTAGAAAGAAAAAAGATGGGTAAAAAGAGAAACCAATTATGATCTTCAATCATGAAATTTAACTTTAGTACCCAATACTTCGGATTTTATTGTATGCATTGACAACACTATACATTTTAAATGGATAAAATGGCCATTCATATATAATAAAGAAATAAGTTGACATATACATCTCGAAAGCTCTACTCAATTGTTGAATGCCAAATTTGATCATCACGCTTCATAGATGTAATGTAACTCACAACAATCTTTCGCATCGTTCTCAGCATGAGTTATTAACAATGTAGACATTATCACACTTCATCTCCCTGATTTGTGCATCAGAATATTGATAGTACTGTGAGAATGAAAGCAAATCAGTCTACTAGTCTATAAACCAACAAACCTATCAAGGAACAAGTAGTCTGAACAATAATCCAGATTTAAAGCACCTGAAAGACCACTTTATATATGGAACCGTCAAAAAAAAATGCACTGTTCCAGTCAACCGGTGGGACGACCGGTTAGCCCAAATTTGCCTGCCTTGGACAAAGTTTTCAAAAGTCAGTAGAATTAATTTTTGAAAACCGTAAACAAACACCATGTGCAAATCAAAGCCTAGAACTAACGTTCCGAAGCTCTACCAAATAGAGCCTAAGAAAATGGCAGTCACCAATTAAAATATTGTGAAGAAAACACCAGAAGAGAAAATGTCTTTTAACATATGCCACCAACTCATGGAATCTGAGAAGCTTTCATTGTGAACCACATTCAACAATAATGCCAGACAACCTACTTCCCGTAGCTACTCTGGAGCCAAATAAATGACTATAACATCTCTCCCTAGCATTAATTTCCAAACCAAAACAAACCAAACTAAGCCTTGTGTTGCAATCAAGAGCTGCAGCTATTCTCCCTCTTCTTTTCTCTCTCTCTCTGTTCTCTTGTTCTTTTCCATCTTCTCTTGTTATACATCTTGGTGAGTTTCCTACTTCCTCTACATTGCTCACCCCCTTCCATTCTATCCCTTGATCATTGTTTTCCCACTTACAATCTTCTTATCTAATCATTTTTGTCCCATCTCTCTAATCGTGTTTCCTATTGTTTACATCCGATCACTGTATGATTTTGCAATAGAAGCCTGAATAATTTCAACTATAATTTTAGATTTAGTGTTGCTTCGAGTTATGGCAATTTTTCTTCTCTTTAATTTTGCAGTTGTTACATGTCAATTGTTATGTTGCTTGAAGTAAATTGTGACATTTTAAAAACATTAGAATTAAGTTTATTGCATGTCTTAGAAATTTTCAGCATGTTCTCTGTGCATTCAACATCGCAAGCATCTCATCAACAACCTCATCATGTTTCTTCTCCGCTTCCAATTGAGCCATCTCCACCACACTCCGAATCTCCCCCATCTGCTTCGAAACCCTAGCTTTCAAATCTCCAAAGAGCTTATTCAGATCTTGAGACAAAGAGCTTATTCCTTAGGTGCAAACAACGAAGCCATTGATTGAGGATGAACTTTTGCTATTTTGATCTTCTTATTGTTTCTATGGAGGCATTTGCTACCAGATCTGGTCACTCCGACCAGATCTCCTTTGAAACCCTAGCCATGGAGTCATCATCTATGTATATGCAATAGTTGTATCAGACGAAGCTTGAGAGATTGAGATTGTGATTAGGGAAGATTTAATTGAGGGTATAATAGTCTGATAAAATATTTAAATAATAAATTTTGTCCTTTAAATAAGACTTTATAATTATGAGGGGGTTTTAAAAGTATAATTTTTTTCTTAATCTTTTTAACAATAAAAGGAAGATAAGGGGGGTTTATAGCCAAATTTCCCGAACAATAATCCAGATTTAAAGCACCTGAAAGACCACTTTATATATGGAACCGTCAAAAAAAATGCACTGTTCCAGTCAACCGGTGGGACGACCGGTTAGCCCAAATTTTCCTGCCTTGGACAAAGTTTTCAAAAGTGGGTGGAATTAATTTTTGAAACCGTAAACAAACACCATGTGCAAATCAAAGCCTAGAACTAACGTTCCGAAGCTCTACCAAATAGAGCCTAAGAAAATGGCAGTCACCAATTAAAATATTGTGAAGAAAACACCAGAAGAGAAAATGTCTTTTAACATATGCCACCAACTCATGGAATCTGAGAAGCTTTCATTGTGAACCACATTCAACAATAATGCCAGACAAGCTACTTCCCGTGGCTACTCTGGAGCCAAATAAATGACTATAACATCTCTCCCTAGCATTAATTTCCAAACCAAAACAGAGTAGCCAAATAAATGACTATAACATCTCTCCCTAGCATTAATTTCCAAACCAAAACAAACCAAACTAAGCCTTGTGCCGCAATCAAGAGCTGCAGTTATTCTCCCTCTTACTCCTTTTCTCTCTCCCTCTGTTCTCTTGTTCTTTTCCATCTTCTCTTGTTATACATCTTGGTGAGTTTACTACTTCCTCTACATTGCTCACCCCCTTCCATTCTATCCCTTGATCATTGTTTTCCCACTTACAATCTTCTTGTCTAATCATTCTTGTCCCATCTCTCTAATCGTGTTTCCTATTGTTTACATCCGATCACTGTATGATTTTGCAATAGAAGCCTGAATAATTTCAACTATAATCTTAGATTTAGTGTTGCTTCGAGTTATGGCAATTTTTCTTCTCTTTAATTTTGCGGTTGTTACATGTCAATTGTTATGTTGCTTGAAGTAAATTGTGACATTTTAAAAACATTAGAATTAAGTTTATTGCATGTCTTAGAAATTTTCAGCATGTTCTCTGTTTTATTGACCATTGTTAATTGTCAATTCCTTGTGAGTGAATGGAGATTTAACTATCTATTTAAGCCAGATTTACTGATATTTCATTCTCCAAAGAAAATGCCAGAACTATTTATAGAACATAGGTTGCATCACTTTCATATCTTCTTCAGTAAAGCATGTCATGATCAGCTAGACTAAGACTTCTGCATAAAGGGACACCACGAATCAACTTCGTGGAATTTATTTTGAACAACTATTTTCAAACAGAATCCCCACTTCTATCTTCAAACAAAATTAATCAGACCACACATCAGCCCATAAAAGGTTCTTTCACATATATGTTTATAAAGTCAAGGTTTAAAACCAACATTATTTTTAGGGCTGTTAAACGAACCACGCTACTTGAGGTCGACTTGTTACGTAAACAAGCCAAAATTCAACACAATTTTAAGCTTGTTAAGTTTTCAAGCCAATCTTGAATAACCTATTACTTGGTTCGATAAGCTTATATATACTATAAAAATCCAAGCTACTCGAGCCCGACTTGTGTTTGGCTCGTTAAAATCCCGTTCGAGATCGGCTCCTTATGTAAACAAACCAAACTTGAACATAAGTTTAAGCTCGTATGATTATTAAACCAAGTTTAAACAACCTACTGCTACTACTACTACTACTCGGCTTGTTTTCAACCCTATTTTTAATTGTTGACATTAATATTTGAAAGCTTAATGCTAGAAAACAATCATCACCATTCAAACAAAAGTAGATAAACTATTACATTAATGTAATGGGAAACATACAACAAACTATAGATATAAAGAAAAAAGTGATGGCAAAGAATTGTTCTTTACAATTTCTTGGTTATCCTTGCCAAACTTCTCTGCGGCATACCTAATAAAATCACGGCCATAACTGTTCACAAAACAAGTAATATCAAACTTGTTATTGGGCAAGAAATTAGCATTAACAAAGTAGCCTTCTTTGTACAAATGCTTCGCAAATAGAGCCAATTCGAGTGAAAGCTCTTTGTACACCATTTGATCCTCCATCCTCAAAGACTCCACAATCCTAGATTTCTCACTATCACCTCCTTTATTCGCAAACAAGGCGTACAAGCTCTTAGAACTAGACTCATCATTCTCAATCTTCTTTTTCTTCAATTTCTCTACTCTTACTTTCTCACTACTATTCTCTTTCAACCTCCTCACTTCTTCCTCCAATTTTCTCAATCTCTTCTTCAATTCATTGGTTTCGGGTTCGTTCTCGGCTTCAATGGGTTCGATTTTTTGGGATAATCCAACGGCTTCCTTGAACAGAACGTGCAAGGGCTTCTTTGTCTGCTGATTGCTGATCGATTCGGATTTGAATTGTGCGGAAAGCGAAATGGGTCTGTGGAAGAATTGGGTTGTAGGGTTTTTCAAGTATTGGGAAGGAGGAGGGTTTTGGGGTTTAGGAGTGTGTGGAAATGGTGAGAACGGAGGGTTCTGAGAAAAACCATTTGTGGGTAATCTGCGAGTGGGTATGGTTGGTTAGGTGTGGGTGGTTTGGAGTTCAATATGGTGAGAGGGAAGTAGAAGAGGTAGCCATTGAAGCTTAGAGAGAAGAGGGGTGGGAACTTGGAGGAGCAAGGGTTTGTCGAGCTGGGGTTTGGCACTTATGGGTTAATGACACAATTAGTATTGTAGTATGTGAGAAGTTTCACTTTAGTCCTTTTTAGTTTTAATTTGAATGTCATATTTTTAATTTTGTTACAATATGATCTCTCTATTGTACACTGTTTAACATTTTTAACGAAAAAATATTGCGTGGGTACTTTATAGTTTTTGTTTTTTTTAATTCTTCTTTGATCCATTTAATTTTGCACGTGGTCTTTTTCTTATTCAGAAGTCTAATAGAAAGTGACGGAGGGTTTATATTGAAACAAAATTAAAAATGTAAGGTTCTAATTGTTCAAATTGAAATTGCAACACTTACTTTACACTGACTTTGATTTTAGAGTATTTCCAAGACTTTTATTTTTTTGCCATCGAATTTGAGTACAAATTTGGATTAAAAGTTTTATCTAATACCAAACGTTCCAACGCTAAATTTTAAATTTTCATCAAATAACCGGTTGATTGGGAGGATATCCGGACGGTCATCCAACCTGGTATAAATTTTCTTCAAATTTTTTCTAATCCAGTAGTCTACCGGGTTGACAGATTGGTCATGATCCGATTGTCCCCTAACGGTCACTTGCGAGATTTAAAAAGTTAAACGCTCCTTGATGAAAAAAGTAGGACTCCCTACATTTGATTTTAGTGAAACGGTTGAAACACTATTTTTAATAAATTTTCATCAAATTTAAATTTAAATGAAAGATTTAAGTCTAGGTTGGAAATGATCTTAACAAGATTAAATAGAGTAAAACTAATGCAAATTGTGTAAAAACACAAAAATAAATAACATCAAATATACATTTCGTGTAAAATAAATGACAGTATCAATTTATTTATTTATATAACTAACAAACTATTGATGAAAATATGTTAAGTGTTATGTGAATTAAAATCTTACAGAAACTCAATACAAATATGTCAATTGTGTAACTTATTTTATTTTTCCCAAACCTTAAGGTAAGTCGATGTAAATTACCCTTCTTAAAATTATTATTTGACCCATACTTTTTATTATATTTTTCAATTTGCTCCTGAAATTTCGTATATGTCCATAAAAGGCCTTTCAATTTAACACCCCATAAAAGTTTATTTATTGTCTAAGCCCTTTAATATATATGTATATATACACAAACATATAGTATTTATTAATTTTTTTTTATATTCACAACTTCACTCATTTCTCTCTAGTTATATATCTATATCCATCTATCTATCTATGTATCTATCTATATCTATATATATAAGCAAATGTAGTGGAAGCTCATAGACTCTCAATTATTTAATCCTAATTTCTAATAATTTTGAGAGAAAAAAAAAATGAGGTGGCACTTCTTCCTCTCTCACCATGTTTTTTCTAGCCAAAATAAAGGAGAGAAAAAAATTCACATGAAATATATAAGAAAAAATATATATATTTATTACTTTAGATAAATTAAAAATTTTAAAACTCTCTTATCACCTCTTTCCTAAAGTACCCTCCTTTCACATGACTTCCTCTCTGACATGTCTCTTTTCCCTCCTTATATATAGTTACATTTTTTTTTTTCAATCTCACACAACTTCTCACAAAAAATAAAAAATATGACCTCCGTGATGTCTTCCAAAAAACTTACCCTTATTTGTCACCATCACCTCCGTGGTCATTTCATAAGTTAGATTGGTACTACTTAGATGGTCATTCCGTAAGAAAGTTAGAGATTGGCATATATGATACAACAGAGATTCCCATTGCTTTGTTTTTATTTATTTTTAAGCCCATTTTCATGTCACACCCCGAAATAATTCAACATGAACTACCCACATTAATAAACATTCACTAAACAATGACAATAATCCTTCCATCTTCACATATTTCATAAATGAGTTTAATACAAAAGTTTCACATGAGGTATACATTCAACGAATAAAAGAACACATGAATCTATAGCATGTGAAACATCTAGTCTCAAAATAATAAAATGCCCTTAAGGGCTTACATCTTCCAAGGCAATAGCCCGGTTACACAAAATGGTCTCTTGAACCCATACACGTTTAGCCCTTGGCTTTACAAAATTCACAACAAAAATAAGAGAGTTATTACTCTTCACAAAAATATCCACGTCCTCAGTTCGGCGGAATCACCACGTCTTTACCTATACCAAAGTCTCATAGAGGTGAGCATAAAGCCTAGTAGAGAATTCTCACAAAGTATATACAGTTATGCAATTCTCAATGTAAATGCAAACACCAATGCCATACAATGCCCTTTTTAAAGAAAATTTCATTTCATGCTCTTCTCAAAGATTTCCATTTTTCAATAAAGGCTTGCAACCTCAACACATTTCAAAACTTCCAATTTTAAATCAACAGGGCCAGTAAATACGACACCGGTAATTCCTAAGCTGGTGTCTGCAAGTAGACTTTACAAATACTACCCATTTGTCATTTTTACCGGTATTAATCGGAGGCTCGACACCTATCCACGCGGTTTTCTGGTCTTTCATCATGGACACTCAGGCCAACTTATCAAGATTAACTATACCCCCTATCTGGACTTACCACGTATTTACCCCATGCCACATTTCCATAGTTCTTATTACGACAACATTTTCTTTCATGAAACAAATATCTTCAATCGAAATTTACAATGCAAAATAATAATTGAATGAATATGCAATGCCATGATCTTCCCACATCTCATAACACTTTCCAATTTCAGATGTCTCCACAATAATACCAACAATCACAATTCCCATTTCCTTTCTTCACTGTTCTTTCATAAGAAGAACATATGTCATCAACACATAGTTACAATTTCACATTCACAAGTCTCATAATCTAGTCTCTTCAAGACCACAAGTAGTGTTTTTCAAACATTAATTTTCCATGTTCATAATTCTCACAATTCCATGGTGCAAAATAATTGTCATCTCACAATCTATATATAGATATATAGATATAGATATAGATATAGATATAGATATAGATATATATATATATATATATATATCATTCATTTAACAATAGTTCTTAATACAATTCTCCATTTCAATATGTCAAGAGCTCCCCATTTTTGTAAACTACAATATGAATCTCTACTCATTCATCTTTTAATCAAAAGAAAAGAAAGAGTTCCATGAACATTTTCACATTCTCCAAAATCCCTAATTTCTAGGGTTTTCATCAATGACCCAATATTTTCCCCATTTCATGGTGTAATCCAACCAAAATCATATTTCCTTAAGTCAATTGAAGAGGAAACCCTCTAGGGTTAAACAAAAGAGTTGAGACTTAAACCCATCTTTCAAAACTCCCTCTGTCACGCCCCAAAATTCGGACAATTAAATATTATATTAGGACTAACCCCAATCAATATTCCATCATCCAAATCCTAGGGGTGAAACCAATATTTATGAAGCAAAACATGTATTTATGACTCAAGAAATCCCTACCTTAATGTTTGATGATGAAGGAAAATGAAAGCCCTAGCTTTGATGGAGACTCTTCAATGTTCCACAACCCCAAGAGAAACCCAACTTGGATCTTCAAGATTGGTGAGAAATGTTGATGATCTAGGCCCAAAATTTACAAGAATCAATGTGTTTTAGGGCTTTGGTGAGAGTTTCTAGAGAGAAGGGGGAGTAAAAGTGCTTTTAGAGAGAGAGAAGTGTTGTAGACCGCCCGAATGTCACGGCTCCGCGCGCGAAGGCGTGAAATCCGTTTTGTTCTTAGCTACCACAGTTCAGACTCAATGTCACGGTTCTGAATCTAATCTCGCAAAGTGCAATGCAAGACCGATAAATCACCAAAGAGTCCAAATCCAGCAAATCGTATTGGAAAACTGATTTTTATAAAGAAGTGCCAAACATGGACTGTTTTTCCAGATACAGAGTCGCCACCTAAATGTTTTGTTTTTGGAAAATTTAGGAAACTCTGACTCGTGCCTAAGGCCACGTGTCCGCCATCACCAAAGTTGCCTCGGCTCGGGAACTTGGGTACAAGAATGGAAGGTCACGCAATGAGCACGCCCGCTCGCCCAATCAAAGATCAGCCTTTACTAACATGATATTTTATTTTTGAAAACACATGTGTTCTTATTCTGGTTAATTAGCTAGAATTACTATGTGATGCGCACAGCATACGAATATAGACTAGATCGCCTAAGTTGGAACAAAACATCTCATGTTTATTTGTTTGAAAATGGTTTGAAGGTGCTACTTGCAAGTAGGCTAAGACGTGGATTTGCCACCCTCGAGTGGGCTTAGAAAACATGATTTTGTCACTCTCAAGTGGGCTTAAAACTCGCATTTCGATGAATTGTTCCAATTCAAGCAATCCAACCTTCATCTACAGGCATTCATGCAATTAGTCACTTAAGCAATTAGCCTCATGGGAAGCATGCTAAACATGGGCAACACTAACACATGCATGATGCTAAAGCATAAAAGCTTACCTAGTACTCCGAGCCAAAACAATAGCTAGTTAGTAATCAATGCGTAATGCTAGCTATGTTAAAATGCCTAATGCAACACATGCAAAATGCAATTAAAAATAGGCTCGACTATTCTAAGATGTCATGTGAAATGCAACTTGATAACATGCTGTTGAACACGTATTCAAGTAAATGTATTGAAATACAATGCAGTTTGAATGATGCCTGAGCCCGGTGCATGCAAGATAGATGAATGGATGCAAACATGCGAACATAAGGATGCTAATCGAAACATGCCCTAAAACTAACCATCGAAAGCAGTTAAGTAAAAGGGAGAAAGATGTGGGGTTGGAAGACATTCACACACTCACGCACACTTATTACAAAATTCGTCCTCTCGACGGAGGGTCCGAATAAATCAACTAAACTAGCTATGCTAAGCTAATTAATTACAAATCGA